TATTTATACTTTTGTCTGTCCTATTTCAATTTCATATTTTCTTTTCTCATTAAACAAAATTTTCCCTGTAGTTGCTAACTGGAGTATGACACCTTTGTATCTTTTAATTTTTATCCTTTCAGCTCTTATTTAAACTTCAATTTATGCCTTTACAATTATAACATTCAATATCACACATAACTTCCAGTTGAATTCTGCTTGGTACATTCTTAAAATACGCACTAAGTTCTTAAAGAGAAAATATATATATAACAATAATAAATAAAATACTTATTCTATTCCAATTCAGCTCTATCATTAATGTTAGTTATAATCTTTGACATCTTTAACATTTCTTTTCAATAGGATATCATACTTCTAGGAACACTTATAATATTTCCATAATTTTTCATGTTTCTTTCATGTTCCTCTTCACTTAAATTTTTATAACACATTTATAATAATTAAGATGTTCCCCTCCTTTCCTAATTTCATTCTCTCATTCTCTTTATTTCATTTTATTAAACATTCCATTACATTATAATGAGTATTTTATCTATCATTTTAATCACACTTGTTTCATATTTTCAAAGTTCATTTCTAATATAACAATACTATCTTATGTACCCTTGCAGAATCCCCCTTTCAATTAAGTTTTCACCCATTATCTCTGTCTTGTACGTTTTCCCTGTTTCTCTATGTCCAGTTTCTGTTCTTTATCATTTCTTTTCCTTTCCCTCTTCTCCCTTCCCTTTTTGACCCCTTCTCTCTCTAATTCTGCCATGTGATTCTGAGGTAAAAATGCATTTGGTTTAAGAAACCACAGAAAGGTGTGTGTGTAATAATTATAAAAACAGGACTATCATATATTAGTTATAAAAAATCTAGGTCCATTTTAACAGCTAAGTATTAGTTCTTTCTAAAGGCTCTGCCATCATGTGATTAGCTGGATTTTTGTAATCTAAAAATAGCAACCCTAGCTTTTGAATCTTATAATTCTCATTACATTAAAATGTACTTATTAGCAATAGAACACTACTTTAAACATAGCATATGTAGTAATCAGAATTAAAACCAAGTAAGTTTTCTAATTAAACATGGATATGTATTCTAAAGAAAGTTTGTTTTAATTTGCATATCTTGTAAGGGTACTACTCTGAAGAGATTATCCAGGATTATAATATTTTCTTGCTAGTTCTACCTGGTACGTATCTTCTTAATCTTTAACAAAGCCATAATACTGCTTAATTCAAAGGAATATTGTTCTAACACAATAATTTGTAACATATTGAACAATTATCATTTTGTTTCATTCCTCTGGTAACATTTACTGCCTTTATTTTACCACATTTGCAAAACTGGAATAGTTACCTTAAACTCTGCAAGATTGTGGAGTACCAAACACTTGTTATGAGAAATATTTAGGGCTTTCTTTTTTAGTTGTATTTTTAACGTGTGTGTATATAGCTTAGCTCATCTACCCAATTCACCAGCTGAAAGCTGCTTTTCGCCCACTTTTTAAAAATATACATACTGCTTTTATTGGGACTTCCCTTGTAGGAAAGGAGAGAGATTTAATCCTCTCTTATATCAGCTGTTGTTCTATATCATTTCATCTTGTCCCAATGCTGATGCGGAATGTCACGTCTGCCTCTCAGGGACTGGAATGGAGCAGGTATAGATGGTAAGACTGGGTGGCAACAGGGCTGGGCTCTGGCTGGAATGCAGAAGCACTTGCTGGAAACAAGGCAGCGTGTTACTGCCTTCCTCCTTGCTGTTGCCACAACTCTCTGGCAGAGGATCATAGCCAATGGGGCTGAACTCAAAAACAAAATGCACAGTATACAGGACTTCATTTATTCCGGTTATAGACCAGCATATGCGAGTAATATTCCAGCAGCTCAAGGTGATGTACATACCATATTTTTTGCACTATAAAACACTCCAGACTATAAGACGCACCTAACTTTTGGGGAGAAAAACAAGAAAAAAAATCTGCCTCTGCCTCCCAGCAATTTGCCTCCTTGGAGCAAACAGCAAACAGCCTGGTCAGTTTCAAAACAGCTTGATTTAGCATGGGCAGCTGATTGGCGGTTGGATTGGCCTCTGGAATACTGCCAATCAGCTGTTCCAGGCTGCGGGGATTGCCACCTATTGCTGCCTCCACACGCCTCATTTTCAGTCTCCACATGACTCATTTTCGGCCTCCACATATCCCATGCATCCTGCTTTCGGCCTGTTCCAGGCAGTGGTGATTGACAGCGGTGGCAGCAGCGGTGATAGGCAGCAGCCCCTGCCACCTGGAACAGGCCGAAAACGGCATGCAGAGGCACAAAATGGCCAAAGGGTGGAGGCTGGCAGGTGGGCGGGGCTTTGGCAACATTTGCTCTGTGAGACGCACACAGACACACCCACTTATGGTCTTATAGTGTGAAAAATACGCTATGTGTTCTTGGGCTCCAATTTCCTCCTCCCATCACAGCAGAAGGTTGAGCAGTCCTATCAACCAGGAAGACCTAAGAATGACTGATGCAAAGTTGCACAGCCAATTTCTATAGCTGAAGGTAGGTTTGAACCTTGGTTTCCCTGGTGCTGATCACCATTAACTTTCTCAGCAAGTAGCTAGGGTACATAAGGCTGAATGTCATGCCAGGTTGTGTGTGTTTCGGATCAGCTGTGCTCATACGGTTCACATTGTGAATAGTTCACATAACATGTACTGGACCAGCATCTTCTCTAATTGCTGTCCTTGTGTCCCCCTCCACATCTTTACATGTTTTTGATCCTTATGAAAGGAATAAGCGAAGATTGTCCTTGATGGTTTGCCCTATAACAGTAAACTCGGGTCAAGATCACAAGCAGGTTGAGCAAGTACCTGCAGGTACCTTTTGTGTAACGCAGCCACAACTGGTTTAATTTGAAAAACCACATTAACCATGGTTTAAGTGTATTGTGTGAACTTCAAGGAGTTCAATGGGATTTAACGGCCAAATGAGCCGGCAACAGAACAGAAACACAGCGGCCAGAAAAGTATTGATCAGGCTTCCGAATTATGATCGGCACAAGCTATTTCTTCTTGAAGGTAAATCCCAGTGTTCGTTTGTTTTGCTGCTTTCCTCCTTCAAGCCAAAACTATATATATATTTAACCGATTCCAATCCTGAACTCGGGCAGCCAAACTGCAGGCCTTTTCAGCGGCCGGCAGAGGGAGCGAGAGGGCCAGAATTGGCGGCGGGCGGGTTGCCCGTCTCTTCTTCTCTACCCACCCCCCACCCCCCTCTCCCTCTCCCGGTTGATCCGAGAAGGAGGGAACGCCAGGGCCTCACTTTCCCTGGGAGTGGAGAAGAGGAGGAGCGCGAATTGCGCAGGCGTCTCTCGCACCTTCTTGATTAGTCAGTCCCCTGTGCTGGGATGGCGTTTACTGGGTCAACTGGAGCTATCCGCGAAGGAGTCAGCGGGAGCGACAGCAGCCGCCTTTGCAACCCACGCCGCGGCTGGCGGAGCAGCAGCGGTCGGTGGCAAGTCACCTTGCCGTTGCGCCAAGTCCAGGATGGCCCGGGAAGGCGACGGCGGCAGCACTAGAGGCTGAAGGAACCGCCCCCCCCCGCCCCCCCCAAAGACTTTGCCGCCGCCGCCGCCGCCGCTCGACTCTTCCGACCGAAAGAAGGGCGGGAAGATGGATGCAGCTCCTTCGCCGGGCTTCGGTCTGAAGGATGTGAAATGGAGCTCCGTGTCCATCCCTTTGGACCTTCTGGTTAGCACTTACCGCTTGCCCCAGGTCGTCAGACTGGACGGCGGTAAGTCGAACCCGCGGGGGCAGGAGCAGCCCGGGAATGCCGCTTGACGAGAGGCTTTGGCTGCGCTCGGGAGCGATGGAAGAAAAAGGGGGCGAGAAGCCGGGCGGGTCTTCCCCGCTCTTTTCCCCCCCAGTGAGGCGCCACCAGCGGTCCCTCCCTCCCTTCCTCGGCTTGAACGCTGGCCAAACTCCAGCTCCCGGCCGCTAGTCCTTCTGGGGAGAAGAGCCCATTGGGGGGAGAGAGGGCACGTGACCAAATTATGAATGGGCCCTGGGGGGGGGGGGGGAAAGCCCGGGGGTTCCTCCCGGGGGGGGAGTAGGGCGGGCGGGCGGGCAGGGGAGGGTTAGTCCTGTCGCCCAGACGCTGGTGCCGTCGGTGCGCGACGCCCGGGAGAAGATCCTTCAGCTGCTCTTCGACGGGACCGCGAGCTCCTTTGGAGTCCATATCGAGCAATTGCCATTGGCAAATGCCGCAGCTTAAAGTCCTGATACTTATTAAGAACCGTAAAACCCCACTTCATCCTTGCTGAGTTTTCTTAACACAAGTGTATTACCTTCTTCCTAATGCAGACAAGTTCAACCGTGGGTGTGGGTGTGCGTGGGTGGGTGTGTGCTCACACGCGCACGCCCATTGCGGGGGTGTAAAAGATTAGGACTGAGCTCCCGAGCAATGTAATTGGAAGTTAAATGCCATAAAGGTCTTTGGGGATAGGATACTAACGTCAGTGGACGGAATCCAACTCTGAGAGTTAAGTACACTTAATTCGTTTGAAATAAGTGGAAAACTGCAGAGACTTGGATTGTGGCCGAATGCACGGAGTATTGAACCTAAATGTTGGCTTCGCGTGTATAAAGCTTTTGGTTTGTTGAACTAGTTAGCCATAGGCTGGGCTATTAGATCTGAGCTGTAAAAATCTGAATGAAAACGATACAGAAAATACTAAACATTTTGAAAATACTAAACATCGTTTTGATTTTTGCAATCCAGATTTTGTAGCTCTCCTCACACTAAACCTAAACAGGAATTATTTATTTCTGTGTATCTTCTTTAATTCATACCAATTGGGTGTGTAAGGAGAGATATTAGAAGGGAGGCTTGAATTAAAAATAATCATTCACCCCTTCATCCATCCTCTGTGCAGAAACACTAATCTTTACCTAGACGAACATTTTTTTTTAATGAACAAACATTGATACTCCAGCTATCTCAAATAGAAGAAACCTTGACCACCAGTAGTTTGTTTTGTTATCCAGTGAATGCCCATGGTTAATGTTACATTATGTCTCATGCTGTGCCAGAGTGCTTTGTGACATAGCAAGAGGCATGAATCCAACTGAAATTTTAAAATAACAATCTTAACTGTTAATCTATTAAAATGATGTAGTCTCTCAAATTCTCAGAAAAGTAACCCTATATTTAAAGGGCCATTGATATATCAGCTTATTCTGACAGGTTATATTTAACTGTGAAAGGATGCGTTAAGAGAAACTGCTGTTCATGAAATACATTACAGTAATAGTGATAGTTATTGCACACTATACTATGGAGTTGCACTCTGCTTCCAAAGTGAATCAGAAGCACGCACTTACAGTGATTTGTGATAGGTGTCTTTTGATTGCTTGTTTTGAAGAAAAACTTTCTTATACTGCTTCTGAATGTTTACTTTCTATGCCAAGTATAAGTAGAATTTTACTCTTTGAAAACATTGATGTTGTGTGCTTTATGTTGAAATATTATGAAAACATGTGCGTACAGAAATCCATATTACAGTAAAATGTAACAGATTAGGTTGTTTATTAATTTGAAGCTTTTTATCTACATAGCACAAAAGACCAAGAGCTCTCCTGCAGTATTTATGTCCTCTTTAAATATTAAATAGAAAAGGTTTTCATTTTTACATCACCTATTCATCCAGATCTGTTGAGGATTTTCTGAACTGATTAAATCAGATATTCAGCAAATCAGAAACAGCACTTTTCATAAATACTCAATTTTTGACTGTGATATTAGTTTATATTTAATTTGAATGCAATGTAAATTTGTTTAATATTGCATTAGAACTAATGCAAAAAATGAAACTACACACTTCATGTTTTGTTAGAGGGTACAAAGGGTGATTGGTATTTGAATTTCCACTGCTGGGAATTCCAGTGTTACTTTTTTTTCTGCATCTTTCATTTTCTCTCATATGCAGCAGTACTAACATTGATATTGATATTCACCTTTCTTTCCTTTTGAATAAATTGATTTCCAAATCTAGACCAGCCTCAGTTGTGATTTATATATCGGAAGTAGGGAGATTTACATACCTGCCAATTTACATACAGTTTACATGTAGTTTATTTGTATGTGGTGTTAATATCAATGTGTTCTGTTGAAGTTCTAAAAGTTTACAGCTTGGTGTTATATGTAAAATGAGTTTTACAACAAACCCTGGTTTAAAAGGGCAAAGACGTAGTGTTATATGGGGAGCCAACTACTGTCTGTTTCCTGTATGTATTGCTCCCAAATGTTTTCAGCAATATTTCCTGAAATCATAATTTTATCTTGGCATTCTTATCTTGTTTACTACTTTCCATGTTATTTATTTATATTTCCTGCCTCTGCTGCAATTCTTTGAAATCATGTGGACATCTTATTAAATCTATTGGCATTCTGTCTTTTATAATCATTCAGTTTGCACCTAGTAGTACTGTGTTACATGAATATCAGTTCAACAGTCAGTGCTGTTGAATTTAACTAGGCTTATTCTTAATTGCTTAATTACTTCATTACCCCAAAATCTTTGCGCCAGAGTTTTCTGTGGCTTCATGCAGTCGCTACTTGTTCAAATACACTTATGTAAGACTTACTTTGCTTAACATTTTATTTACCTATTCTGTTTGCATATTACCAAACCAATACAGACTCATAAGAGTTTATAGCACTCTGATAAAAACAGGTGCTCAATTAAAATATCCTCAATTGATATTATGAACAGTATAAAAGACCATCAAGCAACACCTGCCTATCCCAGGTCCTTGGGAGGGACTTGATAGGAGGATTAAAATGCCAAATCCAGTCTGGCTGGCTGTACGGTGAACCATAATAAATTATGAAGCTGAACAAACAGTGGAGCACTTAGTTAGCTACTGCAAGAAGATGACACAGACTTGGGCAAATAATAGCATAACAAAGTAGCAACAGTGAGACATCAGAATGTCTAAGAAATATCTGGTGGACCACAAAATAGACAATCAAGAAGGTAAAGTGCTTTGGCACTTTAGAATTCAAGCAGACAAACACCTGCCACATAACACCCAGACTTAATTGCCTATAAGAAAGAAGTTGTACTTGGAGATGACAAAAATCACAAAATACAAAGCCCTGCAAATAGAAGTAGAACAACTGTGGCAAAAAAAGCAAAGATAATAGTAATAGGCACGTTGGGTGCAATCAGAAATCAAGTGGAACACCAGCTGAACATCATCAGCATTGACAAAAATCACCATCAGTCAATTGCAAAAGGCAACTTTTCTTAGAACAGTTTACATCCTGTGACAATATCATCAAACAACATCTGCCTATCCCAGATCCATAGGAATGAATCAATGGGTGGATAAAAATGCTAAATCCAGTCTAGCTGGCTGACTTTGTGACCAACCATAATTATTAGTTCATTAAATTTATTTGCCACCCATCTCATTGTGGGGCTACTCTGGGCAGCTTACAACAATGGGAAAAGATGAAAAATGTAGAAATAACAATACTAAAGCAACAATTAGCAAAACATGAATTAAACCTTGGAAGGGAAATGAGTATTAGAAAGAAACTTAGTGTGAACCTGCCTTGGTTTTCTTTGGTATAAGAGGGAGGGGGGAAATGCTGTCAGGCTTTCAAGATTGATGTCAGTCTTTGAGGCAGGTCAAAAAAGATACTCCACCAGAAATACTGGAATTTTATTTTACTAATATAAGCTATAATAACAGAATCTTGAAAAACTGACAGCATCTTCCATCCTCTCCCTCTTAATTCATGTTTGCTAACTGCTACCACCTTCCTTCACCAGGGCCATCTCTCTGGTTCTGAATAGTATCAAATGCTTCATGAAAGACTTCCATCTTAAGTTGGTCCCAAAACATTAAGAGATTTGGTGCAAGCCTTAATTCCAAGGGTACTATTCCAAAAAGCTTAAATAGTGACTGGAAAACAAAACCTTTCAGCCTCTATTCCCTTTATCTCATGGGGTGGGGGGGTAAACAGATCCCCAGGAAAAACTAGATGTGAAAATGATCCTGAAGGTATTGGGGCACTAAGACATAAACAAAATGATTGGTTAATGCCAGTACTTTGGACTATATCTGGAAACCTATTGACAACTAATATGGCAGGTCTTGAAGTACAGTTGTGATGTGCTGGGATGTAATATTTCACCAGAAGGTTTATACTCCTATACTTATCATTGCAGGCAGTTCCACACAGTGTGGCTGATAATACTACAGTAAAAAATATGTCTGTGTGATCTCTGTGATCATGCCCAGATAAGATTTTTGGAGAAATTAAAGATTGCTTAGTACATTGTAACAATTGAGTTCATCCAGTATTATAAGATTCCCCCCCCCCCCAAAACTAGTGTATGGTATTTTTTGCTAGCACTGATATAAGTAGAACATTGCACAATAATTCTCATTAGCATTTGAAAGACTTTTCCTTAGTTCTTAAGATAACTCACATGCTGTTTCATAAATATCTGAAAAGTAAACAATAGTTTTCTTCATTATTTAGGGAAATTTAGATCTGTGTTACTCATAGTTTATATTTCATTTACTAAACCACTAAACTATGTACTATGTATTCCTTTAATTCCATTTTTGGGGGCCTGTATTCACTACTGATTTTGTGAACTGGTATATAAATCATTTCAACATAGAGGTGGATAGTACTTTAAACTTAAGTACTATCAATTTTGCAGGATCCAATCTGGGTCGGTCACTGGGACCAGAGGTTTTGTCTTCCAAGCT